AGAATAAATATATAAGAAATGACAGAATTCAACTGCTGCAAAAAAGAACTGGATACAAGGCTGAACACTGGGAAAAGAATGCTAATGGTATAGGGCTTGTAAGGCCCCAAAACATATTTGCCATAGTTTATAACAGAAGGTTGGACAAACATCAGTTGAGAATGGTTTTGGTGTAGTTAAGCCTTTTTTTGGGAAAAGAGAATAGGTCAGGTGAAGAAAGCTCCTGCCCGCCCTGTTTCCTCTGGTTCTGTCATTACAAAGTAAAATGCAATCCCTCAACTTAGGAAACGTCCAAACACTAAGACTTGCCACTGGAGCTTCAAAGTGAGAGTGAGATCTGAAAGTGATGTACATCATTTGTATGCAAATGAATTCTCTCATCTCTTTTCTCCAGCCATCACCCCCCCACTTCTCGCCTCCCCTCCACCTCCATCGCATTAGGCTGGGCAAATGCAAAACCTTGCTATTAGATCGGAGCCTCTAAAGATGCAAAAGCCAACCTTGTGGTACGGATCACACATGGGCTTCAAGGGGTACCAAGGGGAGGGTTACATCCTCTCCCTCCTACCTCCCCCACCTCCCCAAAGCAAGCCACAGGCCAAGGGGAGAAAAATAAAAGCCCCTTAGGCTATCCAAAGTGACTTTACATCTCCACAGTAAATTATGCTAATTAATGTGAACTCAACATGGCTCAGGGCTATTCTAAAGGATACAACTATTTCAGATCCTCTGCTCTGTTCTGAATTATCTCTACGCTTGGTCAGAAATTGTCCACAGAAACTTTTCTGCATCAGAAAAGGCCTGTGCACCGAAGTGAAGTACTGCCATGCTTCTACATTTTCAAAAACAATTAATTTAAAAAGAAAAAAACCCTACATTTGATCAAAGAGCATGGTGAAATATTCTTTGAATTTCAGGTTTTAATTTGAGAAGGAAAAAAGAACTTAACCTAAATGTAATCAAGCTGTTTTGTGAAGAATAAAAACAGTTTCCAGCAGATGTGTCCCATGTAGGAATTTCATATCTTTCAGATTTAAATTCATGAAATTGGGTTTAAATTGATCGATACATTTGAGAGTTATTAGGGAGAAAGTAAACAGACAGTGAGACTGCATAGGTATAATTTCTTTAAGAAGTCAACTTGAAAGTTAAAAATTAAAAAATGTAAATAATAAATATTTCAGTAGCATATTTCTTCTGTTAAACCAAAAATGTAAAGAATTTTTCCATACAATCTAGCTGGCTACAAAATCGTCCTTGATAAAGAGTATCAAACAAAACACTTATTTATCACGTATGCCATAGCCCACCTGGTTTGTCAGCTTGAGTTACGCACCATGCTAAAACATGAATATATGCAGCCAGAAATCAAGAGCTCAGTGCTTCCTAAAGTAACGAAACCAGATAAAGGAACCTAAATAAAATGTAACTGGTGGAGTAATGGGTGCCCAATGGGATAGTATTTAGGGTAGCCTGATCATACTGGTCTGCTGACTGATGTATATCAGAGGCAACAGGTACTACGAAAGGAGGAAAGAAATGCTTCTGTTTTAGATTATTTTTGTTGAAACTTCTCTGGCATCACGATTTGGTACAGTGCCATTGAATGCAGGCTGCTGTGAAGTCATTTTAAGATGGAAATTAAAGATAATTAAACAGAGAAAAAAATAGGAAAGAAGTATCAACTTTGAAAGTATCTAAAATTCCCATGAATAATGCTCATTGAAAGCATGAATAAACTGTATTTTGAGGTAAAAAAACAAACACAAAAAGACATCAGACAAGTTAAATATCTAGCATCCCACAAATGGATGGAAGTTACAGTTGCAGTGACAGGGCTCAAAACCCAGCAAATCTGCTGGTGCTTTCCATTTCTGACAAAATCAGAACTAAGCAGAAACAGCTCTTTTTATTTGCCTTTTCAAAAAAAATTTGACTGAACAGAGATGCCTATAGAAAGCTATTTCTGGGAAAAATTAACCCCCCCTGATTACCATCTCTTTGAAGCAGAAACTGTCTTTTACTATACACATGTCTAGGACTATGTATAGTGCCATGAGATTCCAATTCATAACAAAGGCTTTCAGGCATGCTATATCACAAAAAAAAAAAGCTACACAATGGCAACTAGCAAACACAGGAGCCATTGCATGTCCCTAAAAGTACAAGTTTAATAAGACTGCAAACAGAGACTTATCAGGTAGCTATTGTTTGATTCTCAACAGTAGTTAAAACAGCCTGGTATTAACTTTGAAAACTGCAAAATTTTAATACGTTAGTGTCCTGGTTTCAGCTGGGATAGCATTGATTTTTCTTCCTAGTAGCTGGTATAGTGCTGTGTTTTGGATTTAGGATGAGAATAATGTTGATAACACGCTGATGTTTTAGTTGTTGCTAAGTAGCGCTTACACCAAGTCAAAGACTTCTCAGCTTCCCTGGCGCACAAGAAGCTGAGAGGGGGCACAGCCAGGACAGCTGACCCAGACTGGCCAAAGGGCTATTCCATACCGTATGACGTCATGCTCAGTTATTATTATTATTACTATTATTACTACTACTACTACTATTATTCTATTTCATTTTACTTCAATTATTAAACTGTTCTTATCTCAACCCCCGAGTTTTCTGACTTTCACCCTTCCAATTCTCTCCCCCATCCCACTGGGGTGGGGGGAGTGAGCGAGCGGCTGTGTGGTGCTTAGTTGCTGGCTGGGGTTAAACCATGACAGTTAGAAATTTGCATTAGAGACAACAGTCACCAGATTGTAACAAAATCTACCTATTCTAGTTAGATATTAGGTACAAAATCTCAGCATGTAATCTCTTAAGGTCATAAAGGAGCCTATAGCCTCAAGGTCTTGTTCACAAAGCACGGAAGCCTGGCAAATACTCAACAAAAACTTCTCAGGCCAGGCCTAGGAATCTGCAAAGATGGGCTGCACTTGCAGGCCTTGAAAACACCGTAAGGAGAGACCTACAGATGTTCATTGCTTCACACCAGTAAAATATTTAGGGTTTTCTCCTCAAAAGGGCAGTTTTGCTCTTTAGGATTTATAAGCTCGCTTGACTGTCAAGCTCTTAAAGTTCCTTTCGCAGACTTTTTGGATTTTCCAAGTTTACAACCTCTGCAAAAATAGTGCAGAGTTTGCATTTTCTTTAAATTGATAGATTGCAAAATATGTACAAGGTATTCACGGAGATTTTGTCCCTCAACCAAAGCCACATTTATTTAAAGATGCTCATAAAATTCTCCTAGCCACATCCCAGGAAAGCTCTCATCTCTTGAATCGGCCTGTTGGAAGGATAATGGGGATAGTTTGCTCAGATCCTCTGCCTGAAGATGCTGCAACTGTGCGAACTGAACTCCTGCATCTTGTTCCATTTTTGAACAGTTTTCACGGTCAACATCAAATAATTTGCAAGTTTAATTCAGATATTCATTCTGCTATTAATTAGTTGTGCTTCTTCAAAATAGTTCACAAGATGCAATTTCAGTCAAACCACCTCTTTTTTTCAAAGTCAAATAACTCCAGTTGAGTAACAGAAAGTATGGAACACACAACTTCACCAAATTGATTAATTTGGAAGATGTCAGATATTGTTTAGATTATATGAAACTGTATGCCAGTTGTAATTGCAATATATGCCAGATATAACAACACTTCTTGTTTTCCAGATGTCCATTTTGTCCTCTGCAGACAGCAGGTATTTTTTCACTAGTATTTAATCGGGGTCAGAGAGGACCTTAAGTGTATGGCAGAAAACCTGACAAACGTTCTTCTTAAGACAGACAGAATATACTGCTTTGCACCCCTTCTCTTCAGGGCATTTTCTTTTTGGCTGAACAGGACCTCTGTTTGGCTATGATGCGCCCCTCTATTCACGTATGGAAGCTCTCACAAGCTGTCTTGAAAGCCTCTTACTCCTGTGAAGTGGCTCACTCAGGCTTTTTCTCAAGCTGCATGCCTGCCTTCGTCTTCGCTTTGGGGATCAGGAATTAATTTTTTTGTGTGGAGTGAAACCGGCATAATAACAAGATCACTTTCTACCTTTCCTGTTATATAATAGAGGCACAGCAGGGTTGAACAGTCATAGCATTTCATTGTTTTCCATAGGAAATTATGAGTTAAAAGAGAGAATCTTCATGAGTAAAAAGATTTGGGATTTCCTGGGAAACGGTGCAAGACGGAAGAGAGTAAATTCTTTGGGAACTGCGAGGTGAGTTTGGGTGGGGAGGGGTTAAAATTGAATTAGGCTGAAGCAGGGTTACTCTGACTTATTAGTTTGGTTATACGGTGTGAGCCCTGTTGCTTGCACTGGAACCAATTAAAATGCCTAGCATGTGAGAGCGAGGATTAGGCACATAGCACCCCACCAAAGTGTTAAATGAAAAAAGTTTTAAGCTTGCTTCTTTAATCCGTCCCACGTGTCTGTCCTTTTTTCACCTAAGTGTCCTGCTCAGGCCATTATACATCTCATTACAATGACCTTAGTCTAAGTTAAAATTCACTGTCTGCGTAACTATTGATAGCTAAGGCACCGCTGTGAGAACCTATATGCATGAGATTACAGTTGCATAGAATACAGCCTGCACTGGAGCAATGTACAGTCTTTTTTGTTTTAAACAACTCAAATGCAGGTATTTAATGAAATCATCATGTTGAGAGAAAAAGATTTACTCAGATTGAACAGGAAAGATAAAAAACGAGTTCCCTTCTCTCACTCCTGGAACCACTCCTTCCCAATTGAATGAGTGGGAAGAAAAAAAAAAAAGTACTTGTAATGTTGAGTATCCTATAACTTTAAAAATTAGTTCTACTTGTGCTGCAACGGAAACACTGTTTACCCTGAATTCTTTAAAATAAAACTGATCACAACTACAAAAAAAGAAACACTGTACTTCAACACTAATATTACCTAAAACTTTGTCATGCAAAGTGTTCACTCGAGCCATTTTTAGACAACATCCTTACAAAACAGTTTTTTCTGGTTTTGCTTACCTCTTGGGTTATCACCAATGATATTGGTTTTGCCATTCCAGTACCAGAGCAGCAATGTTGCATCACGCGATCCTGAGAGAATGTAGCAATTTCCTCCAATATAGGACTCAGAACGAACAAGACAGGTTACAACATCCCAGTGTCCAAATATTACTTGTATCAATTTACCTGAAACACATAAAAGTGATTGTTTTAAAACTACACTTTTGTTCTTTCTAAGGCAAATTAAATACATTATAAAGTATTTTAGAAATATTTTCTTTATTAAAAAAGGTTCCAAAAGGAACTATAGTGGAGAGTACTATTTTTTTTTCTTGATTTGGTGGAAACTTATTTAGAAGTGCAATAGTCCATACAGAAAATATTTACGGTCCATAAATATTATACTTTATTCAAAGGCCAGAAGGTTTTTTTTAATTCTCTATGTTTACATACATTTAATTCTCTATGTTTACATACACTTTACAGACAGGAAACATGATGGGATTCTCCTTTAAGGCAAGTTTAAGAAAAGTTTACTGATGAAAGTAACAGTGAAAATGCAAATCTGATGATGATGATGTGGGAAACAGAATCAGAAGAAGCTACAGAACATTTAGGGCCCAGAAGGAATTGGACGTGTGAGAGCACAGATGTGCATATAGCGTCTGCAGCTTTTGAGCATATCCTTAAACAGAGAAAAGGAGATTTAGATGAGAAATTACTCTTGTACCCATGTTTTTCCAGCACCATTTAAACACTTGCCAATTATTTCAACCAGCATCCTTCCCTTTTAAGAATTTCTGTAACGTTCAAAAAACCTCAAAAGACAGACCTGGAAAAAACTGTCTTACCTACTGCATATAGGACAAACGCTTGTACCGCTGATAAGAGACATAAATGTTAAAAAGAAAAGAAAGCCTAGGCAGTTAAAAATGTGCCATTCAAGAGTCTGTATAAACGTGAATATGACTATTACCTTTTAACCTTAACTAAATAGGATGATATTTTCAGAAAAATGTAAATTTGGATAGTAATGCATATGGATGCATAGTAGATTTGCATGTGGGAGAGGAAACACACATAAGGTCACCCACAGCAGATCTCTGCCAGACCTCCCTGCCAGAGGCTGGCTCCTACACAGCAAACACGTCATGTGTCCTGCCGGTTTCTGGATCTGCCAGCAGCATACATGATCCTATGAAACGAGAATGTAAGCACTAAAATCCATCTCACTGGATTTGCTGAAGCCTAGCAACTGCAGATCTTGTAGAGACAGGACAAAAGATACACAGACACATATCTTATGTGCCTGCTTGGCCCATTCAGGCCAAATTCTGCATCCAATGACACAAGGAAGTGTGATGTGTGATGCCATTAATGTGTGACCTCAGATTCCTCAGCCCAAACGACCATGCATCCATTTGTGCTTTGGGCTGAATAAAGATTGGGGAAGAACAGAAGGGGAAAAGAGTGACCGTTTTGGAAGGATTAACAAAACAGGCCGAAAAAGAAACAGGAAATGCAAACTACTGTACCTGAAATAAAATGTTTTGAAAAGCGTTTAAAAATAATAACTAGTAGTAACACAAATGACAAGTAGTAACACGTATCAGTTTTGGGACTCACATCTTAATAAAAAATTTTGATGCACGAATTGAAACGATTAGTCAATCATATAATATGGCTATTTGGACACATTTCATAGCCCTCTTTCTACGCAGTACAAAGGCATTGTACTCATATCCAGCCACTAAATAACGTTAATGGTAACAAAAGACTTAAGGGAGTGGTTCTGAGGAAAGAACAAAAATAATGATAACAGCCTGACTTCTAACAGAAGATCAAAAAGGTAATTGCATTAAAGTGGAGAAAACCAGGGGGAAAAAAAAAAAACAAACAACCAAGAGAAAGGTATGAGTATCTACAAAAAAGGGGAATTACTTACTCTAGTACATGAAGAAAAAATAGAGTAACATGATGCAATTTACAGGAAACCTGTACATTGGATTTAAAATAAAACACTGACAAAACTTATTAGGCAAATATAATCCTCCAAGAGAAAACGTGAAATTAAGTACTATCACAAGAGCCCTTTCTGACTGGAAGGGGCAAAACCCTGGCAGGTACACTCACTGTGCAGATCCACTTTGTATCGGCAAGGAGAGTAACTCGGGGATCAAGTCTCTCACTCATCTCGGCGAGTCTGTAATAGCATTCTATAGCGGTCACCTCTGCACACCAGGGCTTTAATTTGTGCCGCAGGGTCACCTAACTGTCTCAGATGCTGACCAGTCAACAGCTTTAGTCAGAAAAAGTTACTGAACTTCACAGCTAGGAGGAGCGAAGCACTCACAGACTACATAACCTCATTTTGGCAATACACAAGAAGATCTTACCAAGGGTATGTTTTTCCCTGAAAATTCAAGTTGTCAATTACATGGTTTAGATTTGAGAATAATTTAATTATGTGATATATTTTTCAGTTATATAGCTGTGGGTATTCAACTGCCTGAGGTGATTTATACTTTTAGAACACAAGTTTATGCTATAAACATCGCTGAGTTATAGAGATCTCTCTTTCAATTATATTCCACGTTTATAGGTTCTCTTCTAGAAAACAAACATTTTTCAAGGCTATTTGTTTGACAGTTGTTCGTGTAGTTGCACTGCCTTGTTAGTTTTACTTTGTTACTGCGCAGCTAAGGTTCAATCAATTCCGTCAAAACAAGAAATAAGCTTTTGCTCTTCCATATTAGTAAAAAAAAAAAAAAAAATCATTAATCTCGTAAGAGTTCCTCAACTTTTTTGTTTCACTTAATATGAGTTGTCCTCTCTATACAGTAAGATCGAACTTTACCATATGCGCTCAGATATCCCTTTTTGACAGAACAAATTTTCTAGTTAATGTTTTATTTGACAGCTGTGCTACGAATAATTAAAAGAAAAATAAGACTCAAGTCTCTGCACTACTGAATCTAAAATGCTGTCTAGAAATCATTCCCAGTGCTGGAAGAAGGTTTTATTGTGCTTCTGCTATACTAGCTGTGCTGAGAAGCCATGACTTCTGTTAAAAAAAACCCAAACAAACCCAAAAGCTAATAGGAAAAAGGTTCCCTTTTTGTGTAAGTGCTAAAATATAATTGAATTCCACATTTGTGATCACTCGCCATTATGCATTACTGATCGCATCGTCTTTTCCTTTGCTGCTCTGCTGATTTCAGAGTATTTCACCACTATGTTCTCATTTGCATTCGAAGCAAAATAAACTACATCTGAATTCACTTGATTTAAGCTAGAGCTAGAGTTGCTATATTGACAAACAGGAGACACACAGAAGACACAAATCTTCTGCAACTTTTTTGACAACTGTATTTTGGTTTATACCATAATTAGCTGTGGTAGTAACGAGATGCCTGCTGTATCTGAATTACACACAGAGGACATAACTTAATGAGATATTTGTAGTTCAGATTGATACAGGACAAAGCTACCATAATCATACAAGTCCCTTCCATAGGTGTAAAGTAAAATATATCCTTCAACAGAAAAGAATTAGTTCTTTATTCATATAAATATAGAATATACACTGAATATTTATTACTGCTAGCTAACTTTTCTGAAGATCTCCTTTATATTCAGTTTTATGTAAATTTATTTTCATCAATGAGAAAATTAAACTAAGAAGGGTCTAACAAGATGTCTTCATAATGAAGTGTAGGCAGTCAATATGAAGTAAATGGAACTTCTCCTTTATACTTAAGGCTTTAAAATTGCAAAAATGACAGCTATGGTAAAATATGCCATGAGATCTAGTCTTAACAGATTTTCATTAAAGACCATCCTGTTTTGTTAAACATTTTGGTTTGCCAAGTGTGAAAAACACTATTAACTAATATATTTAAGAAATGATGACAAACATGTAGGATATTCCCTAGGGATTAATAACTTACTGGAAAGCTTGATGGCACACACACATTAACCACACTGGGTCATTAATCCCAAAGAAGTACCTTGCAGTGAGGTCGCTATTCCCATTATAAGATAATGAAAGGGGAAAAAAAATCATACCTATTTTTTTCTGGGGCTCCATGGCTTTTAAATTCCTGTAGCTCTTACACTGAAAGATTCTTTTCTATTTAGCATGACACATGCATGACTTCAATGGTTTGGATACATGCCAGCTGACAGACTAATTTAACTGCTGCCCATTATATCGATCAGTTTATGTTATATGAAAGAATTCAGTGGCTCCAAATCAATTTTTCTATTATAGCGTAGCTTTCAGAGGCTTTCATAAGTATTCTTTCACCAGATTTCAAGGCTTCACTTCTGTTCTTATTCTGTGGTACTTGCCTGTATTTCCTCAAAAAAATTCTCTGGTGCTGAAAACCAACCAGAGTTAAATTCAAGCAAGCACTCTGAGAACAATTAATTCTCCTGGTACGCAAAGCTTCACAAAAACTCATTTACTTGTGGAAACTACAGTGTAAGAATAGGCATGCCTGTCATATAAATTTGAAGGGTGATGCTATGGCTAAACAAGAGCTCCTTGTCTTACATTTGCCATCATTCCACAAAAAGGATGGCATACGATACACAGTAGCAGTACATAAGAATAGATTTGACAAATAGGGACATAAATACATACTCCACTTTCTCCCCCCGCTCCCCATTCTTTCTTTATTTCAAACAGTAGGTTGACGATGAACAGAAAAATCTTTTAGGCTATTCCCATATTTTAAAAATGCATTACCTGAGTCGGTAGAATAAACTCGGAAACTCTTGTCCCAGAAGCCACAGACCAAGATGTAACGATTATCAGAGGTGATGACAAAACACTGGGAATGTACCTGAATGCTTTGGTCTAAAAGGTCAGTGATTTGCCTTCTATGCATACCTGTATTGCTGGCTGAACAGAAAGACACACAAATCAAGAAATTTTAGCATCCACATTCACAGAACAAAAGCACATTTTAGAAACTTACGTTCACACCAAAACTATTCCTCACTGTTGTTACTTGTTTTTTGTGGCAGGGACATTTTCTTTCTACTTTTACTATAAAATACTCATTACACTTCTGGGAACAATGCTAATTCCTTGTAGTATATATTCTAAAATAGAAGAAATCCCTTCTTTAAGTCAAATGCAGCTGACAAATATAAATGAAAGATTGCAAAAAGGAATGATACATAAAAATGTAATAAGCTTCCTTCCCCCCTTCTTCTAGTATAGAACTAAAAATTAAGAAACAAATGAAGGGAATGTAATTATAAGACTACAGTGCATATATGCTATATAGTGGCTCAAATGCAGCAGACAACAGAATTATGATTTCAAAATCGTACACAAGTTGTATTTCATTGCAAGCATTGTAATTTAAAAAAAACTGCAGTAAACATCACTACCATTTCACACTTTTTTGAGCATTGCACAAAAATTAACCAGCTTATCTCCACAATCTCCTTTACGGTTGAGAGAAAATATTTACCCTACTTTGATCACCTGCTGTTTTATTTCCCCAGATAATCTTGCATTGTGAATCCACAGAATGGTCAGGAATCAATTAATGAACACATATTTCATATTATATTTTGTCCTTATTAATTGATGTGTGTGCATATATATATATATATATGGGTCCCTATAGATATATATCATGAAAATCCTACACTTCAGGAAGAACTTTTGATGTGCTTTGTTCCTGAGGGAACCTGACTCCCATCCCAGGCAAGTAAGTTCCCCTGGGCCTGGGTTTGTCTGCCGACTGCTTGGAGCACCCTTACTTCCATTCCAGGTGGTCCCCCGGACCTGTCTCTGTCCTGGTCTTGCGCTCTTCTTTACTCTTTGTTCTTTAACTTCTTCCCATTCTCACGGGCTAGCTATCCCCCAAGCCGTGGGCTTATTCCATTTACTTTACATCAAATCCTTAATTTTGCTTTTGCTATGTTTAAAATGTTGACACTGTCTTGTCCATATGGATAGCAAATAATTTAGCAAGGTATTGCCACTTGCTCTGCAGGTAACACATAACGGGGCCTTGAGCGCTGTTGGGACCACTTAAAGAGTAACACCACCACATCATAAATGCACAATGAAGCATTCTGTGTGACAAAATAATGGCAAATAAACCCCCCCAAAAACACGCAGATCGACACATTCAGTGTGGGTAAGACCTTCAAAAAACTTCACCTCAAAAAGGTCTAGGATCTACGTCATATCAGACATTGCCATATTACATCTTCCTGTGCAACTGGAAAATGAGGACCGCA